AGGCATTTTACTTTTTGCACTTTTTTTTAAACTTCTTTGTTGTACAGGTAAAACTACTGTTGAAGCAAGAAAAAATTACCCGATGCGTATGGAGAAGACGTAATGGCAGTACGCCAGTGTCAAAACTGATTTGCAAAATTTCGGTTACGAAGCACGATAATGCACCACTAATGAAGACGCAATAAAGGCATTAATTGATCCAAACAGGCATGTTTTAACGGGGGGGGGGGATATTGAATTGTCGCGTTGACGTCAGTGATTTGCTTCTATACGTCAAAAAAATTATCAATTTTTGAAGAGCGTCATCATTCACGAATAAAAATAGATTGTCCATAACAATGTTGCGGTCGCTACAAAATTACATAATTCTTTAGACGGTAAAACCTGTACTATTAAATAAGGAGGTCAAACATTACCCGGATTAGTTTTTTGCCAGCTAAGAACAAAACTCTTTTGCGCGCGGAATCATGCTACTGCCAGAAAAAGGGCAAAATGTACTGAATCAGAATCGACAATATATGATTCAATGAAATATTTATTCACTATAAGAAGATCTCCTTTCATTTATTTTCATTAGAAAAAAATTAATTTTCGAACTACCTAATACGTCATTAGCATACTCTAGATAAGCTAATGAAATGATGTAACAAACTTCGTTTAAAGTAGGTAGGTACTTTACTTACGTCGCATTAGAGCTGCACAATGGGCTATAGGCGACAGTCTGGGAAACATCCCTGAGGATGATCCGAAGACATGTCATCACAATTTTGATCCTCTGAAGAGAGGATAGCTCCCCTGCTTTGGTAGCCCAACGACCTGCACGCGAAGTTCAGCACTTTACGGTAGTACAGTTTAAAGAAGACCGATACCGCGCACCCTCGATCCCTACTCAGGCGGATCAAAGTGGTCACCAATCAGCTAACTGACCACAGCCAGTAATGCTTGACTTTGGTGTTCTATCGGGAACCGTGTCCTTACGATCAGAGGGAATAGTGTGAGATGGAAAACTGTGATAGAGGCCCTATGCTTCAATTCGGAGTGAAGAGAAATATGTAAATAATTGTCCGTCAGATTTACTCTAAGACCAATGAAGGTTTATTAGATATCCACAGCGGGACACTTCATCTAAATGGAAAAGCTGATTACTTGTGGAAAAGGGTTATCGCATGGGATGGAGAAGGGGCCTCACATCTCTAGCCCAGTGCACTACAAGCTGTCGCTCATTGAAAATGTTATCTTTTGAATTTTTTTTTTCAGTTTAAATTTAATTGTTTTTAAAAAAAAGGTTTACAGGGGTTGTTTTAAGGAAATTTCTGCCTTAACAATCCATTGAAATTTAATTATAATTTATTGAATTCAAATCGCAAGTAAAAATAATTATTCAGATATTCTTTTTTCTTTAATTAAAATCCCTTAAATTTAATTTAAATCATTTTCAGAAATTATATAAGTGAGATAGAGACTTTTCATGACCAGGTATTTGAATTTGTGTCAATGTTTCTGAAAGAAATCAAGGTAAGTAATTCTGTTTTCATCTTGTCTTCGTACTTCAATTCTTGCTCAAATAACTAACACAATTTATTTTACACAAGGATTCTAATTTAATTTAAAACTTGTCTATTTTTCACGAATAAATAAAACTCTCTTCACTTCTTGGGTAACAGAAAATTTCACGATTTCTCTACTTTTCAATGTTAAATAAAACATTTTTAAAAATTACTTAATTTATCTCCTGTTGACGTTGTAGAGATGCAAAAAGTACATTAGCACTTAAGCTAAGTTAAAAAATTTCTTATGTGACAACCACGAAAGTTTTAAAAAATATTGCCAATGCATTATTTCATATTAAAATGTAACTAACTATATTATTACTATAATTTGTGACTATTATTATATTTTGGTGATACGATTATTTTTGTTCACCAAAGTAAATTAAGAAGAAAAAAAAATCGAGTTGCAAATTTTGTATTTTTGAGAGAAAAAAGCTCACGTGTAGGGGAAGGAGAGTTTAGGAGGTTAATGTAAGTACTTCAGCACAAAATAGCAAATTTCAAAGCTACTCTACTTTTCATCAATAAATAAAACTTTCTAGAGTACTTCAGCTCTAGTGTAAAATAACAAATTACAAACTTATCTAATTTTCAACATTAAATAAAACTTTTTAAAAAACTCTAGAAAAAACGGATAGTACTTAAATTTTGTTTATAATTGAATTGATATTGATTTTTTTAAATTTTAATTTCAAAGCACTTGATTGATTTCCAATACCATAGATTCAAAACAAATTATAGTAATAGTAAATAAAACTTGAAGCACGCAATGCTACAATCATGCCATCGGTCACGCTATTGTAACGCCTTAACTTCAAGACCCTTTCCTGGCCCACAACGGGCTGTTGCGGGAATGCTTGACTTCACTACTAAAATACAAAAGTTTAAAAGCCACTTAATAACAAATATTTTGTTATCGAAATATATATTTATTTTAATCTAATTCGTGGTTTTAAAATTCGATTTATTTAGATTATTTTTGATAATTATTTTCAGTTGCTAATTGATTAGACATGAGAGGAATGGAATGAAGGATATTATCAGATATTTCAAAAGTATAAAACTTGCGCATCCAATGAAAAACTGAGTATTTGAGTTATTGCTTTCGAAAGTCGTTATTTTAAATTCGATTTCTCAAGCACATTTCAACCGATTTCACTCTAATTTTGTATTTTATCATGTAAAATACATACATTAAAACGAAGTAAAGAATGTATACCTTACAATAATAATAAGTTCGTTTAAAAAGTTTTCAAGATATAGGGAATTACGCAAAAAGTAAAATTAACATCACGGGGCCCAAACTTGGATCGCTCTCCTGACTAAACTATGGGGACCCTATTTCCCAGATTGCGGCAACCCTCCATATTTTGGTGGCCAATAGTCCGAATTCGTTGAAAAAACGGTATGTTTATTCAGAGAAAAAACGTTTTTGTGTTTAATTTCTCAACTTTAAACATAATCTGCTCTAATTAATTAGCATATTTGAGGTTACCCCTTCGAATCATTAAGATTGAGTCATAGAATGTCATTAGATCAAAAGTAATTCAGAATAGTCCTTTTTTTGCGTATTGTACATAAAGTCACATACACACAGAAAGGAAAAAAATAAAGCATGATGATCGCCCGATTCTTATTCATAGCGCGGCGAAAAGAAAAGCACTATTTTATTCTATGTTATATTGTTAAAAAAAAAAAGTTGCCAGTTTTTATAACTGACAGAAAAATAGTCGTTTTTGCCTATATTTTAGCGAAAATAGTAGCCTTTTTAGTTGCCAATGACAGCTCTAAAATTAGGTTACTTCCAAATTTCCAGTTTCACTTTGTCCCCTCCATATAAAAACAGGGACAAAATATTAGCTTGAACCTTACGGACAATATATATTTAATTCAATATAAATTGTTTTGATAATTATTATGTTATAAATAAATTAAAATGATTTAAAATTAACGTCCATCGTACTCGTGACAAAACGTTGTTAATGAAAAGAACTAAACTTTTAAACGTAAATGCAATATAAAATTACATTATTCTAGAAAATACACATTCAAAAAATATATAACTTATAAAAAAAAGGATATTATGAATCAAATTTATGATGAAAAATAATCTAATTTGGAATATCATAAGATTCGTCACGCACGAGTACCCTGACCCAAAATCATTATGCAAGATCCTTCCGCAGTTTGATTGAAAAATTCCAAAGCAACAAATCATTTTCAAAACAAAATAATTTTTTTATAAACATAAGATAGGATATTTTTATTTTGGCCTTGGCTTGTTTCTTTTTTTTTTTTTTTTTTTTTTAAAGAAGCTTTGAGAAGTTCAATACTCCTTAACTTTTTACTTATTCAGAGAAATAAAAAACAAAATTATGGACACAAAAGTTTTAAAAATTAAAGGATTCTAATTTCAGACATTATGCAAAGATATTGAATGATGGAAGTTTTACTGACAATTTTATAGTTTATCAGAAAGTTTATAAAATTTGAGGTCGTTTCTAAAAAAATGTCTCTATTTCAAACAAGCTTCAACATTTCCTTGGTGATAACTGCAACGAAACCATCCCTTATTGCTGACAGATAGGAAAATTCTTGGTTTTAAATATCATAGTGAACAGAATAAAAACAGTGAAATACAATAAAAGAAATGAAATAAAAATGAGAGATAAATAGCAGGTGGAAAATCTGCAGGTGGTAGTTTTTATATTGTAAAAGCCTGGCAATACCCTCGTTTTAAACAATATTTCTCGTTTATATTACTTATAAAAATTAAATCTGATATTAATATAATTAGTAATAGCTTGAATGAGTGTGGATAAGAATATACTCTTAATAAACGTCCCTTAAACACTTTTATCTATATTACTAACATTTTTATCAATATCTACTTACTTTTCATTAAGAGTCTTTTATTATAAATTCAAGATACACTATCTGGTAAAAAGTATCCGGATACCAGGTTGCTATGGTGATGTGGGGGTGTTTCTCTTGGTTTGGACTGGCTCCGTTAGTTGCTGTAGTTGGGAATATGAACTCCGAGATGTATGGTGAACATTCTGGACAATGCTGCACTCCCAACTCTATGGCAGTATTTCGGCCCATTTCGGCTTGCACGGACATGGTTTGACGAAATGGGTGTTCAAAAACTGGACTGGCCTTCTCAGAGCTCCGGTTTAAATCCCAAAGAACACCTTTAGGGCGAATTCGAGCGCAGATTACGGTCAAATAGACCCTCCTCACGGCAAGCACTCACTTCAGCTGTGATGGAAGTCTAATGAAAAACTGGTGGAAAGTCTTCCCAGACGTGTGCAGGCTGTCATCGATGCAAAAGGGGCACCAACATCAGATTAATATGTGTCCATAACACTGGGTGTCCAGATACTTTTGGCTAGATAGTGTATATTAAGATTCAGGACATTAAATGTTAAAAATAATAGAAATAAATACCTCTTAAAAGAGTCAATTTCCTAAGTACACCTGATGTTGAAAAAAATGAGGAACGTGTTCGATGAGGAGTTGCAGAAAGTTTACTTCTTAAGCTTAAAGGCAAAGTGCTGGATTTAGACGGAGAAGTGCCACAAACAGCATCAGGTATATTACTAGAACTTAAAGACATTTTTGTAACAGATTCTTCTTCTTCAGGAATGGTTTCAGTTGAAGTAAGTGATCGATATTGAGTCAAAGAAGCAGTCGAAGTTTCGGTTGAGTCATCAAAACTAAGAAAACTTTCTTCGGAGGATTTGAAAGAATAATAACCTGTATCACGAAAAGTGCTTTTCTCTAATTCCGAAATGTTACCAACTGACTTAGTACCAAAGTTTCCTTTTGTTTTAGCACGATAATTAGCTACAAGCAAATCATTTTCACTAGAGGCTTTTTCTTTGGGATTCATTACTTTAGGTAAAGAAGTCACAATTATATTTCCTTCATCATTTTTTAGCAATGAGGATTCTTCGTCTAATGAAGGATTCTCGGGAGTATCATCTAAAATATTTACAATTTTATAATCCAACTTGTGCTCCAAATACTGCGAATCAATATTGCTACTTAAAATTTTGTGGATAGCTGATGATAATGGGTAAGTATTGTGCGATATTATCTTAACAGAAGTAATGCTATCATGGCTGAAAACGTCCGAATGAGAGGAACTCTCTTCTCTGAGAAGATCACCGGGTTTTGACTCTGTAATTAATTTGGAAGACAGGCTTTTACTTAAAGATATATCACCACTGTCAGACGATGCAGGCTGTGGAAGAATAACGTTAATTCTCGTTTCACTAGCCTTAAAATCCTTCTCTTTGCAATCCATACTTCTGTTTAAAAAAGCGTCTTTATACCGGGCTATCCGCTCTTCTATGCTAATGGGTAAGAGACTTTCTAATTTACTAGCGGCACCACAAAGTAAGGAAGACTGTTGTGACTCTTCGGGAGACTCTTTATCTAAACTGTAAGTATCAGCAGCATCATATGAAAATTTTGAAGATATTAATTCATGATTGCTTTCAAGCAACGCATACAGCTCATCCATTTCATGAGAAATCTCTGATTCAGTAGGCGTTCTGTCTGAATCATCGTAGCTGGGTATGCTAATACTAGCTGATATAGTTGTCTCTGAGCCGGATTCGGAAGGACTTTTTTCTCTTTTCTCATCATTAGGAGGAGGGCTGTCGGAATCTGATAGATCCAACAAAGGAGAGTTATTATGACTAGCACTAACAGTTTGCATCAGAGAGACAATTTGATCAGTAATATATTGCTTGGCCGAATTATCTTCGGGAATCGGTTCTTCCGGAGCAACTACGCCATCGCTAGAATCTGCTATTTTTTTCAAGGAGGCCATCAATTGCTTACAGATATACAAAGTTTCCTCCGAGGAATCAGCCGTACTGTTATTTTCTAAAGTGGCATCTGCAGGATGATCACTTACAGAATCTGTATTTTCTACCGCTCGATTTTCGTTACTTAATTCATCATCAGTTGATTCCTCACCAGATTCTAAAGTATCACTACCATAATCACTATTATTACTCCCAATTGTGCTGCTACAACTACTGCTGGGTTCCCCCGCTGACAATGATGCTGGAGATACAGTTAGCATTAATCGCGCAATTTCAGATTCTAAAATTTTAAGCATCGGTGACATATCTTTAATTTCCGATTCAACTGTTTTAGCGTCATTATTAGAAATATGCTGCATGAGATGACTCATTATGTACTTAGCCTCATCATCAGAACTTCCTGGCTTGGTTTCAATAACTAATGATTCGGAATTTTGTGATAATTTACCCGTACATTTTCTAAGAGTCTCACTTGAACTAGCACCCAGCTTTTTTGAACTGGAAGTTTTATTGACCTTTGATTTATCCTTTTGGTTAGAAATAACGTTTTCATCATCACTGCTAATGCCTCCACTTTCATCAGTTAACTCGTCTTCCAGATATGACACATGTTCTCCTTCTAATAAACCTGATTTGAAATACTTTTCCAGGCGTGATGTAGCCAAAACAGCATATACAGCCGATCCTTTACCCAAACTAGCATTGTCAGAAACACTTTTTCGAAAATATTTTCTAGGAGCCTTAGAAGACGCGAGTCTGGATTTATCATAATATTCGAAATCTGAACTTGCCTTACTAGTTGGAGTGGAACTTTTTTCACTCTCTTCGCAGCTTTCTTCAACAATAGTATGTAACCGATGTGAAACAGGATAACAATGAAAACTGGCAGATGGAGCAATATAGGTAGCTTCATCAGAAGAAGTGGATATATCACTAAAAACAAGTTCTTCACCATCACTGCCATTATCGCTGGATTCTGATGAACATACATTCTCACTAAAATTTGTTTTATAGGAACTTAATTGGATGAATTCATTTGTGCAATCACTGAGCTCATTTTCAGGTTGAAAAGCTGACTGATTTTCTTTCATAAAAGATTTTAATTGTTTCTCAATTGAAAAATATTTTCCACACTCCAAATTTAGAGAATCACTTTGATTATCTTCTATAAAATAACTAGCCTCTTTTGTTGAATTTTCGATATTTTTTGAAGAACAATTACGTGCTTCCGAGGTAGCATTACCATTCTCAAAGAATGTTTCTTTGAGCGTTGCTCCAAATAATTCCTCGTTAGCATGGAGAATCTTTTCTTTAATAGCAACACTTCTTATCCTTTTATAAGCTTCACCTTCAATAACAGTATCCTGAGAATCAGTATCGGATTCCAATTTATCTAACTCATCACCACTAGAAAAGATTTCTCCGTCATCAGCAAGACCTCTTGCATCCAGAGTTGCATCAACAACAGATGGAGAAGACGGTACATCACAAGGTTTATTGCACCTGCAATCTACTCTCTCAATTATGTCAACATTTTCAACACTGAAAATATCGAAATATCTAACCGGAGAGTTTTCGCCGAAGTTTGAAGAAAAAATGCATCTAATATAGGGCAAAATTTCGGAATCAGAATCAGTAACATCTGAACCATTGAGATCAATATTTGAAAAGATACTACGTCCAGCATGGAGTCGTTTCGAATTCAGTTTATTTACATCCACCGATGACATTTCCGAAACAATTGCTAATCTCATGTTTTGTTTTTTTAATCGGGATGCATTGTTTGAATGAGAAATAGATTCACAATTGAAGGATGCTTCGGTGATTGAGGAGGAATCTTCTTTCTCAGATTGCATGGCATCGATCTTTTTTCTATAATCCCAGAAATAAAAATTATTTTCATTCTCCACTTGAACTGATGTATCATTTGTCTTCAAAGCGATCATACGAGATTCTCCGCTCGCATCTCGCTGAAATAACAAACGCGAATGGGTAGTTTGGAGGAGGCAGCCCGCTTCCGCTTTCAGAGCAACAGGTGGGATACGATAAAAAAAGGTGTTTACTACGCTCGCTGGGACACCATGTTTGGCGGAGCTTGAAGTGCCGGCAGTCCACCCCAAGTAAAGAGTGAGATCAGCCAAATCAAGTACCTCACGATCACACTCCAATGCCCTGAGGTTCAGGTCTATGACTCTCTCTATACAGCACTGTCTTTCCCCCCGCCAACCTGTTACTGCAGACTTGTCATTACCACGCTTGGATAGGTTAGGGGGGAATGCGTTGGCGGCTTCATTCAAATGCGATTCTTCTTTTATTCTGAAACAACGACTGCGATCGAGGCTATAAAACTCGCCACACAAGAGAAAGTAAAACTCGCTACAAGAGATAACGGGAAAACGGTCTTGCTTAAAAAAATCAATGAACAGCTCAAAGTAATGACTTAATGAACCTCTCTGACTCTGATATTTATTTCTTAACGTTTCATTCACACTAATATCAACAAAGATAAAAAAAGTCTGCAGCGATAGCTTTAATCTCTCAGTAAAAGTAGATAAAGAGAATACTTGATTACAGCTCTTTTTATCAACTAATTTTACAGTCTTGAAGTCGTTTGCAAAGCAGCTGATAAATATATTATTTTCTATTTGTAGAATGAGTTTACAACACTTCTTAAATAAGTAACTGAATTCGGAAAAATATTTAAGATTTGATGAGATGAGATGTTTAGAGAATTCATTTGAGTAAGAAGATAAACTGTTAGATAATGGTGGTGGTTTAGCACACAAAAATCGATCTATAAAATCTTCTACAGCAAATAACATAAAAGTGCTCTGTTTTAAGTCAAGTTCACTTATTGGCATTACTCTAAATGAATTCAACGGCGAATCATAACTCGAAAAGGAACACCAGCTGTCATTTGAATAGCAGGCAGCTGTATTTATTTTAGTAGATATATTCGTCAATTCTAGAGTTTTAATAGTAGGAAACACAGTTTTAGATGATATTGTTTTTATTTTACTATGACTATGAAGGATTGAAAAGTAAGAGCAGCTCTTAAACAAATTCGATTTAGTTGGATTTAAAATATTTTTCTGTTTTGATTCAGTTTGTTTTTGTTTACGGTCAATATCAGAAATCGATGTAGTAATTCTTAATGTTTTAATAGTTGGCGTAAAATCATGTTCATTGCATATTTTCACATCAGTTACAGAATTTTGACATTTTTTTCTTGTTTTAAGAGTTTTGAAGCGATTAAAAACAGGAATGGTATTAGAAACGTCACTGTCACCCGTTTCCAATTCCCAGTCAGAATCCTCAATATAAGACGTGCCACAGTTAATTTTTATTCGCGATTGAACACTAGTCCGTAATTTTGATACTCTTGCAGGCCTACGCAATTCTTTTTCGCAAGAATTCAGATCAGAAATATTTTCATCAGAAGTCGATGAGCTAACATACACTAATTTATAATCATCAGGATAACTAACGTGACTAAGTTTTCGAGATACATAAGGCTGTTCTTCAATATGCCATAACCAATCTTCCAGAGAATGGCATTTCCACGAACAAGTTTGAAGCCAATCATAGGAAGGATTTCTACGATTTGGCAAAGATGCCCGGCGAACAAAGCATGGCCTTGTCATTGTCTTTTTTCTACACAAAAATGATGTTGATGACGATTCCTTTTTAACTGAAGATGCTTGGCAACTAAAATTCTTTTTAAATTTTAAATATGGCAGCTTCGTAGGAACTTCAGCAACTCGAAGCTTTTGCAACGAAGGTATCCTGGATTCTTCTTTCCGGTGAACACCATTTAATTGGGCCTCAGTATTAACAGCTGGACACCTACCAGCACATGCATCAGCATAAGTTTTAGAATATGATATTGGCAGCATGCTGCGCTTTTTTACCCCGAGACCAACACCGGCTGAAATTAGCTTAGGTTTAAGATTATTAGAGTTGTTATTAGAGGGAAGAGTTAGTTTAAAATTAGTCTTAGAGTAATTGTTAGAAGATAAATTGTTATTTTTAAAAGAAGATTTGGTGAGGCCCGAAAATGGTTTGGGAATCATAGCTAATGGAGAAATAAATAAATGAGTTAGAAAACAAATAATGTTTGAACAAAGAAAGATTTGCCAATTAAAAATAAAGAATGCTAATTCTGTCAACAATTTAATTTTAAGCAAAAAAAAAAAACTATTATATTATTTGAATACACAATTTTCGTAATACAGTCGAACCTCATTAACGTGAAATCGGCGGGGATTATCATAATTATTTCATGTCAAACGAATTTTGTTTCATCTGATACATCATGAAAAAAATTTATTTCTTACTATTAATACATGTTATGTACTACATTAATGTATGTAAACAATTATATTATGAACCAAAAAAATTAAAATAAGCTTTAAAGTTACAAATACTTTATTGAACTATTTTATTTTAATTATTTTATATATTTGCCCATCTGTTACTTCTAAAACAGGAAGAAAATAGAAATAGCATTCCTCCAAATGAATGATTAGGATTTTATTCATCATTCATTACAATAATACAATAACTCGTTCAGGTATTATATTATAACATACTATACTATTATACCTAATTATTTATTATCTATGCTGTATCTAGTTTTCTTCCACGTTAAGCGATAATCAGGTTGAAAATTTCATGTTAAATATGTAAAATACAGCAATATAATAGATGGCTGACTCACGGGACCAAACATGTGTTTCAAGTAAAGCGATATTTCACGTTAAGCGGTTTCGCGTAAGTGAGGTTCAACTGTAGTATGCTTATTCTTCGTTCTAATGTGAAAAAGAATATTTAAAAATGCAAAAACGCTATTTAAGTTCGTAAGGGCATGTTTATTCCTAGTTCTAACGCGAAGAAAAAAAAATTAAGAATATTTAAAACTGTAAAAACGCTATTTAAGTTTGGAAGCATACAAATGCGTCATACATGCATATATTTTCTGTTAAAAATACTATGACGAATGAAGTAAAAGCAAGGCGTTGTTTTTGAGAACTATTTTTTAAAAAAATTGAAAAATATTTCTTCAATTTACTTTTTTTTTTCCTTTTTGCTGTGGTGTATTTCACTTGACTCTTTATTTTTTCAAGATAATTTTTTTATACTTCAAGTATATATATTTTTATTTTTCAAAATGTACGTCATAAATTTAAATTTAAAAGGCTAAATTTAATAACATAAAATAAATGGTATATGAATGTATTTGCCAGATGCAGAATGGTAGTTGACAGACCAAGTTTATCATGCAAACAATATATTTAGAAAACTAAATTTTGGCGCAAATAAATGAAATATGACACAGTCATTAAATCAATATATATACATAATAATATAGAATAAAAATTGCGATCAAAGCAAGAATAGACACTAGACGTTGAGCACGAGCGTGATCTATATTCTGAAAATAACTTAAACATTTTTTTTATTGTCAATGAATAAGAAGAATGAAAATATTTACTTTATATAGAAATTGACTTAAAATAAAGAAAAATGTCTTCAGGTATAAAAGACTTGCTTGCTGACATTCAGAAAAATTTGTCTATCGGCCTTCTGTTTTCTGTTTAATTTAGTAAGCAAGAATAGTGTAAGCATGCATCGATTTAAAAAAAATAGCCAATTCTTTAATTTTTTAATTAACCACCAGGGGGCACATTTTTTTCTTTAATTAAAATTAAAAATTACAGATTTCAAATGTTAGCATTTATTGCATAGTGTAGGATATTTTTATAGTGTATTTCTTCCCATTTTGATGACGAAACAAATTACACTAAATTCAGATAATAAGATATTTATTTACACGCTAAAAAACTGTCAAAAAAATTAATTGAATCGAATTTCTTACCTTTTCTATGATTTTCCATAGTAATTGAAAACTTCGCTCAACAAGAATAAATCAAATTATGTTTTCACAGACAATTGCGTCCCCAGTGGTGCAATTGGTTAGCACGCGGTACTTATATTGCAGTGCTTGCGAGTAATGCCGAGGCTGTGAGTTCGAGCCTCACACGAAGAAAATGTATTTTTGGGACAGGGATAGCCAAGTTGGCAGAGCGCTGGATTCACGCTACTGAGAACGAATGTTCGATACTAGCCGGCCAATGATTCCCCGTGTAGAAAATGGTGACTGGAGCACGTTAAATCTGTCGAGTTACAAAGTCCTCCATGTTCCAATAACCTCTGGGGGTACTGAATTGGAGATTGATCGTTCTCTGGTTCAGGTCGCCCTATAAACGGGTGTGGCACAAGTCGAATTATTGGCCATAGATGGGGTCACTGGAAAACAAAAACGATCGCACCCTTTGCCTTAATGGCCTACGACAACAGAGAATTGCGTTGTAGAGGAATACAAACAGGAAAAATTATTTTTTGAGGGATAAAATTTTAAGAAATATTGTCAAATATATTGAACACTGGGTCTCAAGAGATTATACAGGTCAAAACATCAATTTTATAAGAACGTAAAGTTGCGAACTGAACAACGGCGAGGGTTCCAGGCTAGCCTATGTTTAACTACTGCTATAACATAGCTGCAACGATTTTTTTTCTATTAAGCAATAAAATTTAAAATTTGATGTTTCAAACTTTATTTGAAATTTTGATTTAAAATTATTTAGTCTGCTATCACGTACAAATAAATTAAAGATACATGTAAAAAGCATTCGAATGTAAGCAATAATTCTGAATTCAATTGTTATGGATGGTTGACCGTGTAAAGCTAAGCAGAGATGGCGCTAGGGACTAAAATTTGTCTCTCCATGTTACCGATTGATTTTTACGCCTATGCTTGACGCCATCTTATATTATTACACATTATAACGCGTTCTTTCAATTTAAGTTTCAACTAAACGTACAATAAATGATTTCTCTAAAGCATACAAAGATGCTATCCAAAATAAAATAAACGGTACACTAATATAGTCAAATAAGGGATAATACTCAAAACATGGCACGCTTTATTTATGTTTAATATCAATTTTGGTATATTTGTTTTACTCTCGTGACCTGTTGGAATTCATAAATTGCAGAAAATTCTTATGAATGGTAAATTTATCACAATAACAAAACTTCTGAGCCTGTTCACACATCGACTCGTAAGGATAACGGAAAATTTCTAAATTTCTTCCAGTTTTAGGAAACTTGTTATTGTTTATTTTCAGTCAATCATCCATTTAACGTATCAAAGATACTACGTGCAGAGATCGCGGAAAGACCCCAAAATCAACGGAAAATCTTGAAGTTATAAGGAAATAGCGAGCTTTTACTTTACCTTACTACTAAAAACTTTATTGCTAAGACACACGAACAGATATTGCACGTTAAAATTAGAAGTAAAATTTAGTTGAGTTTATTACCTGCAGAAGCAGCAGAATGTTTCTTTTCTAATGGCTTTATACATGGCGAAGCTTTCCGCTTCTTTAATGTGACTTTTCTAAAAAGAATGTCAGATTTCTTGTTTGGTGCACCTTCTTCACTTTCAATTTCACTGTCACTGGATGACCTATTAACTAAACGCTGAGCAAATAATCGCGGACGGTTAGAGGGACACTCAACAGTTTCTGTAGACAAATGTGTGGATGCAGCCAATGGAGACGCTACAAAGTTATCTACTTTTTGTTCAGGACTACATACACCGCTATCGACAGAAGACTGTTGATTTTCAACAGGACTTTTTTCTGGAATGGCTTGTTGCTTTTTTAAAGGGCTAAGTCTCTTTCTAGATAAAGGCACAGGATCATTTTCATCGACTACTTCACTACTTGTAGATCGAGAGCGGCATCCAATTGTGCTATGTCCTTCGTCGGACGATTGTCGCTCTCGAAAATTAGAAGGTGCTGGATAGTCAATGGTTCCAAGAGGGCGAGATTTGTCGACACGCACAGGAATAGTAGGTTCAGGATCAATTCCATTCCATGGACTAACTCTTGGTAAAGCTTCATTTTGTTGAACATCAGTAGTTTTTTCGGCCAACATGTTATCAACACTATCTTTTTCATTTTGATTATCTGGATCATGCTGAAAGGAACGAGGAGGCTTCTGAGGTGGAGTGTCTTCAGATGGCGATTTAGAATGATCAGTACCGTCCATAACGTGAAAACCTAGAATAACAAATATAAAACAATTAAAAAGTACTCAACATTAATGCACCCGAGCTATCTCTAGTACTATTATCTTTCTGAAAGATACTTTTAACACTAGATTGCCTAAGGAAGTCATTTTGACTGCTTTTAATTTCAATTAGAAAAACAATGATGTATATAATGACACAATTTCTTAGAATTTTGTACAACATATAATTTTTTTATTGTTAATATTTATTAATAATTTGTTATATAACTGTAAATATAAAAAAATATTAAAAATTAATTTTAAACAAATTTCTTTGCACATTATTTATTCTTTTAGTCATTTGACTGCTTTTGGGCAATATAGGTATATACTAAGTTTCAGTCTTTCTAGTGTTAATAATAACAAACATATATCTTACTAATTTAGAGTAACAAAAACGGTGTGTTTACAAAAAAACTATAGATAATTTTTTTTTAATTGAACATATAATAATAATATTTTATTCTAATATTATGAATGATATTCTCGTACTTTGTTACGGGAAAAAGCACTAATTATTTTCTTCTTCGCATTTCGCAAATAGTCATCATAATAATAAAAAATCATGAAATCCGTAGTAGTAATTGACGAAAAAAAGATCGACGACGAAATCATGCGAATCAGACTCCTCAAAAAAGGGGTTACTCAAATGCGTGTTTCGTTTCGAGATTAGGTTGTTGTAATAAATTATATCGTATAAAAAATATCGGATTTAAAATCTATGGAGAAATCAATAGCAATAACTGCCAAAATAATCGACATAATCATTGCCTTAAAAAGTAAATACTCAAATGCAAGAATCGAATTTTTCATATTGTTTGAAAAATATCGGGATATTTAAAAACCACTTAAAAATAAATATCAATAATTGCCGAAAATACAATCGAAACATAAAATTGATTTTTGATACCATCGGTGGAAATTGGGAGCGACAAAAAGTGATTATCTAAATGCAAGATTCAAATTTTACGTGTAAATTTCTGCAAAAAAGAAATCTAAAACTTTTTACTTTTCGAAAGAAAATCTTTCTGCAAGTACTTTGAAACGTTCAACGACTATGTCGCTTTGTCACTGTGATTTTGCCACGGGGCTTCATTACACCTTAAGCAAGGAATGAGCCAAACACACTGTTCAAAACCCAAATGAAAGGATGGCAACTTCCTGATTTGACTGTGTGTGTATATATATAGACCAAATTATTAGACGCACTGTACGGCAGAGGTGGACTGCGAAAATAACTTTCGAACTTTTAAGAATCGAGTAGATTTAGTCTCAGTTCATTTTATATAAATTTTATCTCAAAATGTGTTGCAAGAATTTCTTATTAACTTTAAAAAGAAAGCGGATGAAAAGTCTCAGGTTTTCGATTAATAATAACAATATAAAACAAATCCTCAAATTTTCTTTCTTTAAAAATAAGGAATTCTTGTGAATCATATTAAGATCATATTCATATAAAAGGAACATAATGCGTGGAGAATTAACGGAAACAACTCAATTCTCATTAGTTATCATTCAATATTTTAAATTTTCGTTTTGTTAAAGGTATTTTAAGACTTTTTTATTTTATACTTTTTCCCCTTAGGATTCTCATCAAATGTTTAAAAAATTGCTTTAAAAAAACAAATAAATAAATTAAAAAAAAAAAAGAATTTTCTTATTTTTTCCAATATTTTCTCAATTTTCCAATATTTACTCAATATAAGATCAGATGTATAACTAAAGCTTATATAAATCTGCTAATCTACTCAAATATCAACAGAGAAGATACATAGAATAAAGATAGAGGTTTTTTTATTAGTACCAGAATATTAGAATAGCTGATTATCAACCATATTATCAGTTAAATAGTATTAAATTATATTACAAAAAATATATAAATGTGATTTTGTAACAGCTAATTCTTTCTTGGAATTTGGTGGAAATTTAAATTGGTTATAGATCAGATTCGAACATTTCAACAACCAATTCCCCAGCTCTCATCAACACTACAAAATCAAGCACAAAACTAAAAGACATGTACCGACACAATTAATAGAGATTAAATGTTTTCATTTTTTATCTAAAGCCCTCGCCGATTGTTTTACGTCATTAGATTAAGTATAACCTTTTTTAGAAGTTCATCTAATGCAAATAAAAATTAACTGAAATCAGTATCATTTGGCATGATACTGTTTCTACAAGCCATCTCATGGTACCTACAATCAAGTAAATTCCTTTGGCGCCTTTCAAAGGACCATGAAAAATTTGTCACAGTACCAAATGAAAATAACACCAATTGCCATAATACCAGTAGAAATAATTACCAAAATTAATTAAGTATTATCGGTGACAATAATACATGGCAATTTGTTTATGGTTTCCCTTATTTAATTTAAGTATAAAATATTTTCATTTCATATAATTAATAAATACATTTTTAAAGATGTGATTTATTAAAAGAATTATTTAATTGATAATGAGTATATTTTAAGAAAGAGATTTTTTTACTAAATAATAAAAGACATGTGTATCGAAATTACTATGTTACCCATTATTTAAAAAAATGCATTGATTTAAATAAATAGTGATATTTTTTTGAAAAAAAAATAATTCAAACAAACTGTGTGAATAAAATTTTTGACTGAAAAAACCAAATATAAAATGTTTCCAAATAAAAAAAATTTTACATTAATTTTTTTTATACAAAATACATTCAACCAATAAAATTATAATTAGTTATGGTAAGGTATATTATTTAAATTAATAAAAGGTTTCATCAGATAATTTGGATAGTAAATTTCAAAAAAATCCAAAAAATCAGATTTCAATAAAAAAGGTATTTAAAAACAAATATCATGATTTTTGCCAACCGTGGTTCTGGTCAGTGTTCTCGTTATATACTTTTCACTAGATGAAGGGTGAAAATTCGAGCATTTTCTGTTCATATTTTTTTAATATTATGCAGAAGTTAGGTTAAATTCGGTTAGCATAGATCGGTTAAACTGTCACTAAAATGTAACCACTTTAAAGTAAGGATTTCCAATTTATCTAAAATTTGATATTTCGTGTCTGAAGGAAAATCGCTAGTATTACACCCAGTACTTTTACTTTTTAACCAACTTAAGGCTACACGCATCAAATATATATATACATTTCAATTTTTTAACTTATACACTTAAAAAAAAATCGCATCGTTCTAATCAAAGTTTAGACTGATTTTCAAGACTTTGAAAGCATCTTGTCACCTTATAAAGAACAAAAAAAATTTTTTCATAGTTTAAATATAGCTTTTATTTTAAAATTATAGAAAAGAAGAAAAAAAACTTACAACATATAAAAAATAATTATTAAATGAAAATTGACCAAAAAATGGAAGTACTGTAATTGTAAAAAATATTTATGTTGTTGAATAATTTATTACTTGATTATATCAAAATAATTTGAAATATTTAGAAAAAAAAAATCTTGATAAGGTTTTATCTATCATCAAAACAAATAATTAAACAAAAACACTGAATGAAATATTGTTATTTTCTTGACATATGTTCAGAGCAAAAATCGAAAACCTTCTTTAGGAAATATTTATTAAATTTGTTGCTCTCTTTTGAGGTCTGAAAAAAAGATCACTTCTGTGATTTTCCCTTTTAATAATCAATGGCACTCTGAATGGCTAAAATTAGAGTTGAAAAAAAATGTCCGTAAGTCAAGAGATGAGGGGGAAAACATGTTGGAAGAGAAAAAAAATATTGTTTATTTCTCTTCGAATGGAATCAATTTCTTTGTCATTTACGAAGAATTAATATCCACATTCTATACAAACACTCAGTGATGACGGAAGTCAAAAAACAGTGAGAAAAAAAATAGTCAAATGCTGATACAAAAACGAAACAGTTTCGAGTAGGCGAAAATCAAACCAGGCAGAGATAAAATGCAATCTCCAACAGCGATGACAAGAGGGAGCACTGGTGGGGCAACTCCAAGTGGACCCATGAAAGAGGAAAGTCCGGAGAATCTCATCTAAGCATTCCTTGGAAATCTCTGTAGCGGAGCAAACGAAACCTCTTTTTCGCCTCTTTGGTTTTCTTTCTATGACAGCTCCGTTCTTTAACATAGTAGCAGTGTGCTCATTAGTTAATTTATTATTTTTTATATATATATATAGTATTGAAGAAGCATTTGATTAATCTTGCGCCCGTTTTCGTCAGGTCTTAATATCCTGCCTGGCTTCTAATGGTGGCAGTTGTGTAAGCAGAACAAACAGGCACAGGATTTTAAAAAGAGCAAATTAGTTTTATTTAATCACTATGTGATGATGAAAATCGAGAGAGTGAGAAAATCCTCGTGCTCCTCAATAAAAGTTAGGGAAAATCTTGCAAAGAAAATTCGTCAAATGTCTCGTTTTAGGGAATAAGGGAAATCTTAGTAATTGGTTTATTAAATAGGCCGCGCGATTCCCACAAAGAGCAAAGGGAAAAGTGTCTCACTTTTAATTAATGCATGCTTGAACCAAAAATAGATTAATAGACAGTATGTGAATTTTAAAGTGTGAGGAAAAGTGTTTCGTTTCGAATAATTTTGGTGGTTTACAAAAGTGCCGTGGCACAGTGGTTGAGAATCAATGGTTTATATTATAACAAACAGGATCTAGCAAACATATTTCTGGAATTCATTCTATGAACTCAGATCACAGTTTAAATCCAGAGAAATCCTAATGATAAAAAAGCCACAAACTGTGGGCAGTTAAAAATAATAGTTGCGGTGTAATGGCCTTCAGCAATGAAATTTTTTTTTAGGTGCTTGATTTTTTTTTTAAATTAAGAAAACAAAAAGACATCATTATCTTAATTTAATGAAATAAATCGCAACAGATGTGACGCACCGCAATGTGATAATAAACACGAAAAATTACAAATTATAAAAAGAAAAAAAATTAAAACAAGCTGAATATAATTTTGAGCGGTAATAATAAATGGCGCATTCAAAATTACACTGAAAAACATTTTCCCCC